TGTTTTCCAATTAAAGGCCGTTGTGGCATTTATAACTCGTCACATGTCCTCTCGCGCTAACGAAGCATTGTTTGGCTCAGCCTGCCTCTTTCCTCCGTGTGACGCAGCGCTGAAGCTGTCCGATGCTGACTCATTCTGCAAATTCAGACCGGTCGTCATGCATTACCATGATAGCGATGATACACGCGCAACTCGGCTCGCCGTTAACACAGCTGCAAGACAAGATATCGTATGTATATATATATAGCCTATATATATATATTGTTTATGAGATTGCTAGGAAACATCGATAGTGATATAGATATCGTTAAAAGGAGAGAGAGACAAATATTTATAAATATTAACATAATATATAAGCAGATATATATCGATGTTTTTTCTCGGCACCTGCAGGTTTTCCATGTTGACGCATGTCGTGTAGTTAGACCACGGATTTCCGGTGTCCGGGTGACGCCACCAGGTGCCGTTTGGCAAGCACTCCTTGTAAGCCTTGACTGCAGCAGGGGGCAAGATTTTTACAAGCCTTCCGCTTTTCACAGCACATGCTATACGTTACTTAGCGCAGGTAGCTCTACTATGTGTGAGATTGATACTGGCATCATTATATTAAAAGTCAGGCCATGATCTCGTCGAGTCGTACGCTGCTATTACATACGGTTTATTGCTTGCCTGACCAGCCGTGAAGCATTATGAGCTTTGATATATATATATATATAAATATGTGTGTGTATTATTCGGCATATTATATATATATATATATATATATCGAAAAATACACATCACAGGTTCACGGGCGACAAAGTCGCTGCATAATGTAACAATTAAGGAAACATTATTAGGCAGTGACCGGTTAGGGACCGTTCACAATTATCAACATTAGGACAAACGCACAAACCGTGGACCTTTTCCTAACCCACTTTAAAAAAATGGGGGAGGGAACGTGCAAATTTGAATGTTGATTTGTTTAGAATTGGTGGAAATTTATGAATCGACATGTATCTGCATGTTTAAACGCATTCAATAGCCGCGTCCCTCCCTCAGCGCAGGATTACTACAATTTAGGTATTATTCATAATTGCAAACGGGCCTCTAGCGGTGCGTTTCAAAGCACTCAATCAACGTTAGATGACGTTTTTAGTGCAGTCGTTACGTACATGCCGGATCAAAGCCAACTACAAATGAAGGGCAGGTTATATTGCCTTTGGTCCCCGCCAGCGTGTAGTCCCAGCATCCCCAACCGTCGAATGTCACTCGGCAGTAGAGTCGACCTGCAAGAGACGTTGATTTTAATGTATACGCCACACTAACCAGTGTTACACACTAAACACTAAACAGTGTGTAGTTGGGATTGTTATTACTTGAAAGTAAACTGTTCCGTCTCATTTTACCTAGCAATTTCTTTTCCTTAAACATGAAAAATATCTGGAATATTATTATTGAACTATTTCCCAATAGAAGCTGCATAGCCTCGACGTTATGCAGATGGCTATTTCTCTTTCGCCACCATACTGGCAGCAAATGTAAAAGCATCGTCAACATCGTCATGGATTGAGTGCACAATGACGGATCTCTCTGGGGTTATACACAGCAAGCATTAGCAGCAGGTGCACGATGTGTACCGATACGTGTCCTGTGACATATATGTGTCGTATATGTCCGACATACCATCAGGGGAATATGGCATCGACTTTCAATAGCATGTGGATACGCTAATGCGCGCGCGTGCGTGCGTGTGCGTTCATGTGTGCGCGCGCATGCGTGTGCCTACGTGCGTGCATGTGTGCGCTCACGCGGATGCGTACGTGCATGCGCGTGTGCGTGTGCGTACGTGCGTGCGCGTGTGCGTGTGCGTACGTGCGTGCGCGTGTGCGTGTGTGCGAACGTGTGCGTGTGTGTATGCGCGTGTGCGTGCGTGCGCGCGCGCGTGTGTGTGATTTACCGTCGGTGGGATAAGGCTTCGACATTATCTTGGTCCAGCATTCGTCCCTCGCTGCTTCACTCGCCAGAAGCGCGCCGGAGAAATCCTCGTGAGTGCTGTTGTTGTTGTTGTTGTTGTTGTTGTTTTTGTTGTTGTTGTTGTTGTTGTTTTTGTTGTTGTTCGATGCTGTTGCATTGCTGGTGACGGAGCGCCATGGAGCAGGCTTCTTGATGTTACAACGGGTATCACCAAAACACACACGTAGTTAATCGTTACCAGAGCATATGATTCGTGTGAGACAGCAGCCGTTGTCATCCACCCACTAACTGATTAATACAATGGCCACGTCCATCATTCGTACTCTAATACTCAAAACTAAACCGTTGAAACAACGTTGAAAAATTCTGCACGTGCAATTTGATTCACGTCGAAACTTCAACACCGTTAAAACAACGTGAATTGTGAACATGTTTCAAATTCAAATCCAGACAACATCAACATCGTCTCATTCCTTTCGTTTTCTCTTTCGTACTCACTTGTCACTGCCGAAGCCATGTCCACAGCCGCTGCGCTGCTGCTGGCTGCTGCTCTGCTGCTGCGCTGCTGCTAATCACCATCTTAACTCCCATCCCCTCCTCCTGCCTACACCCACCACCGAGAGCATGTAAGATTCCACTTCCACATCCCGCGCGCTCCTCCTACCAACGAAGAGTAACTCCACCTCCGTCCCCCCCCCTCTCACCACACACAGCGTAAACCCTGATGTAAACCACCTACCTCCACCCCTCTCCCGAGGATAACCCACCTCCTCCCCACGAGGAGTAACTCTACTCCCCTCCCTCCTCCCCTTCCCGCCACGCAGAGTAATCTCCATCCTCACCTCCCGCCTCCACACTATCCTGATTAATACACGGCCTCCCTCCCACGAGGAGTAACTCCACCTCTCCCACTTTCCTTCCCCACCAGAGCGAGACACATAATCCGCGAGCGCATCTCTAATGCCCCCCACCTCCCCTTCCGCCACGAGACGAAACTCCATCCCCTCCCTCCTCCCCTCCTCCTCTCTACACACGACTAACTGTATTGTAATAAGAGTAACCCACACCTCCTCCTCCGCCCCCTGGCTCCCCCACGAGGAGTAACTCCACCGCCTTCCTTATCTCACTCCACTACGTGAACCACACACACCTCCCACCCCAGAGAAACTACTCCTCACCCTCGCCTTCCCACAAAGGATAACTCCACCCACTTACACCTGATCTGTACTCCTCATACCACTTCCCGCGCCCCGCAGGAGTAAACTCCACCTCCTCCCACACTAACTGACTGTAATACACCCCCTCTCCGCCCACCCCGAGATTACTCCACCTCCTACCCCCCCACCACGAACAGAATTATAAGCTACACCTCAGCACCTGCCCCCCCCACTGAAGATAAACCCCTCCCCTCCGACCTTCACACACTTCTAAGCGCTTGAGCCCTAATAATGCACGTCGCCCAGCATCGCGCCCCGCTGCCTGTGCTCTATTATCACAGCACTAACCTGAGTAATACATCCGTCGCTAAGCGCACCTTGACATCCAGCGCAGATCCAACCTGATCGCTAACCATAGCGCCACCAAGACGCGTCGCCGCGGGAGCAGTGACCCGCCGCTGGGCTGCGAACATTACACCACTAACGGATGTAATACACTGGCCGCGCCATGCACCAACTCAATTTGTTCTTCCGCCGCGGCGGCCGGCGCAGGCTCGTGATCGTCAGCTCGCACTCGACTATCATCGCCACACCTGCAGGAGCCCGGCGATTTGCATCATCCACTGCCCTCTCCTCCTACACAACCCCCGCCACCGCCCCCACAAACTGACGTGTACCCGCACGGCCACCTACACACTCAGAGCGCTGATAGTAATACACTGCCCCCTAACACACTAGCACCCTAGTAAATACAGCGCTGCCCCCCTATACACGTAACCGGCTCCCTTTCCGCCCGAGCACGTGATGTCACCTATGCCAGCACCTTGCTGCCTCCCCCCTACGCTCACCCCATGCACTAAACTGAGAGTGTACATACAGCGCGCTGCCCTCGTCGGCGCCCTGCCTACGGCGCCATCACTAACTGATGTATGACACTGCCCCCTACACACTAACCTTGGAGTACGATTTACACTCAGCTGCCCGACGACACGCGTAAACCTGATGTACATACACTGCCCCCCTAACACCACTAACTGATGTAATGCACTGCCACCTATCACACTAACTGATGTAATACAATGCCTCCCTACCACACTAACATGATCGTAATCCACTGCCCTCTAACACACTAACTGATGTAATACACTGCCCCCGTACACACTAATCTATAATTGTAAACGCAGTACTCTCCTGTCCCTTATCGTCGCTTTACGCGCTGGTTCTTCGCTAAAAGTTTTCACGCCTTTCAGATCGACTGCCCGCACTAGCCCTCGGATTATCTAATCATCAAGAACGCGTGCCATAGACGAACGCAACTGCGAGTGATAAATAAGCCATCGAGAGGAGACTGCCAGAGAGACCGTGATGAAAGAGGACGAGAGAGACCTAGCGAAATGGGGTTAGAGCGGGAAGAGTGAGCAAGAGAGAGTGAGAAATAAAAGAGAGAGAGAAGAAGGAGAAGATTCAGATAGAGATAAATAAAATATATATATATATATATATATATATAAGTTTATCTCTAATCTGAACTCTCCCTCTCCTCTCTCTACATTTTAATATATATATTTATATAATATATATAGAGAGAGAGAGAGAGAGAGAGAGAGAGAGGAGAGAAGAGAGAGAGAGAGAGGACGCGCGCGAGAAGAGTAAGTGACTGGAAGAGGAGGAGAAAGACCTAGCGAAAAAGAGGTAAGAGGAGAGAGAGAATACGAGAAGCAGAGAGAGAAAGAGAGATTGGATAGATAGAGAGGGGGAAAAAGATATAACGGTCCTGAACTCCTAGAGTTTCTTAAAAAGATATCTGATTAAGTATAAAATGATTACAACAGGAAGACTTGAAAGTGCACAGTAAGTTCGATCCATCTTTTTGCCTCCATTTAAGTGTGCCAAGTAATAGACTCTGGCGACCGGTAACTTTGCTCGCCATCCTTACGCACAGCTATCAGAATGATTCAGACGAATGTACGACTTATAAGACACTTTTGAAAGACGTACGTGCGAGCGGGATTAAAGAGCGAGAGTGAGAAAGAAAAGTGCTGAGGGACGAGAGGTGTAGCAGAGAGGATATTAAATGGAGTGATCAAAAGTAGTCGCGAAGTGTGCTTAAAAGGATTTGATATGGAGTATAGGGCCATCTACCAGCAATTGCCAATGGATTATATTATACGCTTGAAGAAGATTAAAAAGACTAGAAAGTAACTTCAACTCTTTCATGGCATAACCGAAGTAAATGATCATTGAACGTGCGACAAGTATATTATGTCCCAGCACGCCACGCTATCAACTATCACATTTACAACGGGGTACTATATATATAATTGAGCGAAATAGCCGAGAGGTGAAAGGAAGATTGAGAGCGAGCTAGAGAACGAGAGAGCGCGGCGAGAAGAAGGAAAAGAGGAACGGAGTCCGAGAGAAGGCAAACGAGGAGAGGGGAATGGGAAAGCAACTATCTAAAAAAATCGCAGTTGAGAGCGACAACACTAATGGCTGCAAATCAACACGATCCCCAGAGCGAATCTGATCGGACTACGCAAATTACGCTACGAACAAAACAAGTTTCAATTCCTTTCCCCTCTATTTTCCTTTCCTTTTCTGTAGTCTCTCTCCTCTCGCTCTCTCTCTCTCCTCTCTCCTCTCTCTCTCTCTCTCTCCTCTTCTCTTTTTCTCTCGATCTCCCCTCGGCAAAGTTTAGTTTAAGGCTTAGCCGCCTTCTCCGGAAACGGATGTTTGTGCTAGGTCGTCGTCGCGAGCCAGTGTGCGTTTGTGTGTATGTTGTGTGTGTGGTTGTGCGTGTGTGTGTGCGTGTGTGTGTGTGTGTGTGTGTGCGTGAGCGTGTGCGTGTGCGTGTGCGTGTGCGTGTGTGTGTTGTGTTGTGTGTGCGTGTGCGTGTGCGTGTGCGTGTGTGTGTGTGTGTGTGTGTGTGTGCGTGGTGATTGACTGGTGTGTGTTGCTGGTGTGTGTGTGTGTGTTGGGTGCGCTTTGCGTGTGCGTGTGTGTGTGTGTGTGTGTGTGTGTGTGTGTGGCGTGCGTGGCGTGTTGTGTTGTGTGTGTGTGTGTGTGTGTTGTGTTTGTGTGTGTGTGTGTGTGTACGTGCGTGCGAGTATTACGTGTGGTGTGTGTCACGTGCGTGGCGAGTATTATACGTGTGTGTGTGCGCGCCGCGGTGCGTGTGCGTAGCGTACGTCTCTCTCTCTCCTCTCTCTTCTCTCTCTC